TGGTCCCGAGTTAACTCAACCGGTGCGTGCAGCCAACATCAATCAGTTGTGAAGAAGCTGTGTTGCTGTTGAAGACGATGGGCTATCGGTGCAACAGCCGACCAAACAGCCTCATCCTGTCCGACTGGAGTCTGACCCGTGGCGGAGCTGAGCTCTGGCAATGGAAGAAGAAGTTGAGAGTGGCGTTTGGATTGGAGAAGGCCCCTGGTGGAACGAAGAAGGTGTACAGCCGAGTAGCCGAGTTCAAACCACTCGGCGAAGACCCAAGCAAAATTCCTTTGCCGAAGACCCCGGAGACGAAGAGACGTGAAGTGTTCCGCGCTACGCAAGGGACTCCGTACTTCGAAGACTCCCACATGCTGACTCCAATGAAGCTAAACCCGACCCAGCGAGCGCCGAGTCGTGGACAGCGGAATGTTGGTCGTTACCGTGAATTGTATGACGCTGCTGACGAGGCTGAGGCTTACGAAGAGGATGAAGAAGACGACGACGCCTTCGACATGAGAGGTAACCGTGAAGAAACCGTGAAGGACTACATCCGAAACTTTAGCTTTGACGCGGCTGAAGAAGACTCGACGCAGTACCTAGAAGTCCGAACCCACGCCTCGCTCGACAAAATCGCTGAGTTCGAAGGAAAGCGCTACCGCTCTGATGCGTCGCTCCAGTGGCTCAAGCGTTTCATCTACGAGATGAAGAGCACCAGGATGCCCCAAAGTGCCTAGTGCGAACCTTTCTCGCTATGCTTGGGACGCGCGGCGAAGAGTTGGTACAGGCAGCTGCCGAAGAAGACTCAGCGACGTTGGAAACTACTCAGCGAGGCGTTCCTGAATTATTTTTGCTCACAGTTCGACCAATCCGTTCGCACTCGTTACTACTCGGCGAGACGTGAAGTCAACGAACCGATCTGCGACTTCCTGATCCGACTCAACGGGTATGCTCGGACAGCCAAGATCCAGTACGAGAAGGGTGGCGCCGACGCGGCTGACCATGTCGAACACTTTTTGCTGCATTGTGGTGATGACGATGTGATGGATTTGATGTACCCCTTGCAGTTGGAAGACATCAGTAACGTGGAACAGATAATCAATCGTCGGATCCTCGGTGAAAAGCGCAAGAAGCAACGCGACCGACTCGTGATCGCACGAGGCAGAGACGATAAGCGGAAGGATCAGGGCCGCCGAGATGAACGCCGAGATGGACGTCGAGATGAGAAGCGCAGTCGCAAGGAAGAAAACCGCGACCGCCGAGTCACTGTCGTAGACGCTCACTCTGACGGGGAGGAGCTCATCGATCAGAACCCGCCGAGTCCGTACAACTCCGAAGATGAATGGGATGATGAGGACCAGTCCGGAGGACACGACTCAGCGGAAGACGACGACTACATTGACGCCGGTGTTTCCAATGATAAAGGAAATACACCGGACCGCCGAGAGAACTCGGCGGGAGACCAGAATGGCTCAAATCGAAGTTGGGGAAACTCAGCGAACCGACCTCCGCGACCGTACAACCTACGAGAACAGTCGAACCGTGGAGATGGATCCCGCGACAACTCTCAGCGCGGACCTTGTGCAGCTTGTGGAAGAACGGGACACTCGGCTCACTACTGTCGACGACGCTGCAAATTCTGCAGACAAGTCCATGAAGGCGGCCAG